TTCTGGTGAACCTTTTTATCTCACCAAAAACACAGTGGATTTGACGTCATGCTCCTCTGAGGTATTTCCTATGAAAATATTTGGATTCGTCAAAGCTCAACCACCATGGTCTCCCCATTATCGTCAAAGCCACTAATCTGAGTTGCATGCTGCTTTAGGTAAATCCCTCTATGCTCTCGAATAAAATTTAACCCTCAATCACCGTGTTTTTTTCTGTATTTGAGTCTCATGCCTTGTAGCATCATGAGGAAAAACATTGGCGAAACAGTAGATGAGAATGACTAATTTAGATAATGCTAGATGGCTCCTACTAAAAAATGAGCTATCTCGTATACTTTTCCTGAAACCACACATTGTACACATCCATATCTGATTATCAATTCTTTGATTCACGGTTGCAAGTTTACAAGCCACCACGCAATTGTTGCATTCCATTTTGTTATTTTAAAGGGAGCGCCTTGCAAGAAATTCTATAGTTGTATTGACGTTATTTGTCGCCACACAAATTGCGCGTATAAACCAAATCTCAGTCCGAAGTGCTGCATCATTTAAAATTTCCAATGGATCAACAATTTGATTTCTTGTTGATCTTGGTTGTTCTGCCATTTTAACAAAGTAGTCCCACTACCAGTTATACCGCAAAATGAATCCGTCTCATTATATCTAATCACTAACCCTCACCCTCATTTTACTCGTCACAAATTGTCAAGGGTATGAGAATCACTGTTGTTGTGTGTAGATCACTTATGTTATGTTTGGTAGGGATAAGATGTTTAGTTAGAGAGTTCATGTGTTGCTGTATCGTTGGTGTGAGATTGTTGTGACGTATTTGTGTAAGGGAAATGATGCGTTAGTTTTAGTTCTTGTTAATAGCGTACAGAGATGGCCTTTTTGTGATTTTCAAGACATAACTTGTTCTGTGTATGAGAATTCGGCAAGATAGATCGTGAAGTTGAACATTGATAACTATTTCCAAAATACATCGATCTATCAGGTTTGAAGAGGCATTTTAAAATTATAACATTGAATTCGTATCGATATATTCAGTTTTTGTTGTCGGTTTACACTGGTTTTTTGTGATAGTAGAATGTTCCACGAGTGAGCGTCTGGCCTAGAAGAGTGGATGACCACAGGACATCAAGAGCAACGGTTCGACACAAATCAGTTAACTTAAGCTCACTGGCATATGAAAAAGGAGGAGTGATGCTCAAATTAGAGCTGACCAATCATGGACAATGTATTTGCTTATTATAAGTTTGAGATGATCATCAATAAATGATCCCGCCATATCTTGGCCGATCCCCCCCCCCCATTTCTCCATCGTCACGAATGTTTAAAACGAATTGGACGTGTTATCACAAATTCATGGTCCCATTCCCGTCTCCAGAGTCACTCCGGACAATTTTTTCAACACCAGCTCCACTTCGAGCTCCAAAAAATTAACAAAGGGATGGTGATGATTTAGAGGTGCTGCTATGTCATTGAGAGGTGATGCTGGGTGATTGAGACGTGCGTGCGATGTGATTGAGAGGTGCTGCTAGGTGATTGTGAAAGGCTGCTGGGTGATAGAGAGGTGCTGCTATGTGATTGAGAGGTGCTGCTAGGTGATAAAGAGATAATGCTGGGTGATTGAGAGGTGCTTGCCGTGTGATTGAAAGGTTCTGCTAGGTGATAGAGAGGTGCTGCTAGGTGATTGAGAGATGCTATTGGGTGATTGAGAGGTGCTACTGTGTGATTTAGAGGTGCTACCGGGTGATTGAGAGGTGCTACTGTGTGATTGAGAAGTGCTACTGTGTGATTGAGAGGTGCTGCTATGTGATTGAGTGGTGCTACTGGGTGATTGAGAGGTGCTTCAAGGTTTTAAGGAAATGTCTTTATTGTTGTCAGTTACCTATGTTTCTTAACTGTGCATTTGAAATTCAAGTATCGGCAGCATAATAGGTAGACGATTAGTGCAACAATTTTACTAAGTACTATTTTGTTTAAATGAAACGTGAAAATTATGGATTTTAGTTGATATTAATTCATTTATTAATATTTTGGAGCTCATAGAAGCACGAAATTTTACCGGATCCAGGTCCACTCCAGCACCAGCTGTGAACAACCTTGCTTCCAAGCACCTAGCTTCGCTTTACAGCTGCGCTGTTAATTCTTCAACGTCACCCTTAGTTTAAAAAAAAGGTGATACAACAACACCAGATGCTCGAGCCAAGCTTCTCGATCCCTTGTCCATCGGTAGCTTGGACATCGGTCGCTCTTTCATGTTGGACCTCCAAAGGGGTCGCGACCCATAAGTTTGAGAACCGCTGAATTAGAAGAAGAAGAAACACTGTAGGCTGTCAAAATCATTACTAGTTAATTCTTTTTTAATTTACCTTGTTCCTGCTACATCTATTTATGTGAGTGTGTGTAGCTAGAGGGTAAGATCTGAGGTTGCATCATTAGTTATTACTTCATTGTATGAAATCGTTTTAAATCTTATCCAAGATAATCCCCACATCCTGCCTCACTTCCACAACCCAAGTTATGACCGTTTAACCTTCATCCTGGCACAAGCCGCATTAAGTGGGCCTACAGAGTATGGACAACACGAATGGAATTTCAATGCTTGAAATTTCGATTTCCCTACACCACAGAGTAAGCTGATGCCTCTGAATCTGAGTTAAATGTCCATCATTTTTAAATAACTTGATCCGCATGAATATTGCTTTTGGTCTGAAACTGGTGTTATGTAGTACACTTTTTCATCGTGCATGGTTAGTATGTCTCCTAGTCTCTTGTCGAATGATCTCGAGTTGTTCTAGAAATGTAAACAAATGCTGAGTAGCTTCTGGAAGGCAGGGCTTACGCTGCATATATAAATGGAATTGACAGATACGGAGAGAGAGAGAGACAGAGGGAGAGAGAGAGATTCAGATAGATATTTTTAACTTTACGAGACGCGTATTATTCTTTGTGTGCTCATATGTGTTTATTCGCATTCATCATTATTAATTGACACATTGTACTAATTGTGTACCCGGTACAAGATTTTTTCAATACTCTGTAAGTTGATGATTTGTAATTATATTTCTTTTGTTTTACAATTGTATTATTACTAAATTAAATCTTATTAATTGTAATTGGTACTAATTTGGGTATCGTATTTTATGTTATTGTATTTCTCTATGGTATAGTCCTTTGTTAGGCACTGTTTGAACGAGCCATCAAATTAAAATAGGAGATTGATTTCTCACAATAGTAGCCACTGACAAAAAATGGCCTCATATCGGTTAAATAGACCGAAAAAGCCTTAGTATTTGACTGATTTTGAATATACATGTTCTTTATTAAAATTTCACTTAAAACCACTGAAAAATACATGATAAAACAAACAGAAAACAATGAATACATGTTATGGGCCAGTATTCACTGAAGTGTTTTAATGTAATTGCATGAGGTAATTTTTTTTTCTAATAATTTGTAGCAGTAATAAATTGTGCTAAAAAGAGCTAAGGGATTACATTATTATTTATAGTTATTAAGTATATTTACTCTCATCATAATGTTTTAAAACAGTAAGAACACTGAATTTAATTAAATACAGGATATAGGTATAAAATATAATATTATAATGTAATGGTATTAGCATCAATTATACTAACAAAACTAAAAGTGTTGGCTTATTTATTAAATTTAAAGAGATAAATCAAATAAATTGTCCCCAATTTTCTCTACAGATTATGGAGCCAAATAGTTTTAATGGTACAACAAATCAAGTTCAAGTTAGAGAAATGCCAGATGACTCTGAGGAAGGTAAACTTTCTTCAGATTAATAGGAATAGTTCGACGAAGAGTGTAATGACTCTACTGGACCAGTTTGAAAAAATAGTAATGTTTTGACTGTGATGTCTTGACTGGACCAGTTCAACAAAGAGGGTTGTTTTTCACTGGACCAGTTTGACGCCGAGAGTCAGGTCTCGACTCAGCCAGTTCGACGAGGAGAGTGCTGTCTCGACTTCACCAGTTCAATGGACCGATTTGAAGAAGAGAGTGATGTCTTGACTGCTCTAGTTCGACAAAGGGTGTGATGTCTTGACTGGACCACTTCAACCAAGGGAGTGATGTCTTGACTGGACCCATTCAAACAAGAGACTAATGTCTTGACTAGAACTATTCAACAAAAAGACTGATGTCTCGGCTGCAACCATTCAACCAAGAGACTAATGTCTTGACTGGACCTATTTAACCAAGAGACTGATGTCTTGACTGTATCCAATTAAACCAAGAGACTGATATCTCAATTGAACCCATTTAACCAAAAGACAAATGTCTTGACTGGACCCATTCAACCATGAGACTGATGTCTTGACTGGACCACTTCAACCAAGAGACTGATGTCTTGACTGGACCCATTAAACCAGAAGACTGATGTCTTGACTGGACACATTCAACCAAGAGACTTATGTCTTGACTAGACCACTTCAACCAAGAGACTGATGTCTTGACTGGACCTATTCAACCAAGATACTGATGTCTCGCCTGCGCCCATTCAACCAAGAGACAGATGTCTTGACTGGACCTATTTAACCAAGAGACTGATGTCTTGACTGGACCCATTCAACCAAGGGAGTGATGTCTTGACTGGACCCATTCAACCAAGAGACTGATGTCTTGACTGGACCTATTCAACCAAGACACTGATGTCTTGACCGGACACATTCAACCAAGAGACTGATGTCTTGACTGGACCTATTCAGCCAAGAGACTGGTGTGTTGTCTGGACCTATTTAACCAAGAGACTGATGTCTTGACTGGACCACTTCAACCAAGAGACTGATATCTTGACTGGACCTATTCAACCAAGAGACAGATGTCTTGACTGGACCTATTCAACAAAGAGACTGATGACTTGCCTGGGCCTATTCAACTAAGAGACTGATGTCCTGCCTGGACCCATTCAACCATGAGAGTGATGTCTTGACTAAACCCATTCAACCAAGAGACTGATTTCTTGACTGGACCTATTCAACCAAGAGACTGATGTCTTGACTGGACCTATTCAACCAAAAGACTGATGTCTTGACTGGACCCATTCAACCAAGAGACTGATGTCTTGACTGGACATATTCAACCAAGAGAGTGATGTCTCGAATGGACCCATTCAAGCAAGTGACTGATGTCTTGACTAGACCACTTCAACCAAGAGACCAATGTCTTGACAGGACCAGTTTGACAAAAAGTGTCATGTTTTGACTGGACAGTCCGACAAAGAGATTCGGCCGTTTCTAATAGTTCTTATTCAAATACAGGTGGTTAGAATAGTCAATATAAAATGTTTCCAATTTACTTATCAGATAAATCATTTCAATACAAGTTATATTAGTGTACCTTCAATATTACAAATTCTGCTAACACAAAACTTTTTGTCAAGTGTATTTTACTACTCTCTCAATTTATCTGCAATGTGTCTGTGATTTTTCTCTAATACATCCAAAAACAGTTTAAAGGCTGGCCCTGGTCCAGCACTTACAAGTTTCTGTAACATGATTTCTGTTCTTTTCTTGCGGGATGCATGGCGCAGTATTTGCCATTTGTCTTCTACATCAAAAACTCCAACAGAAATTAAATCACTAATAATATGAGTTGCATCCAATTCTTCTATCAGCCAAACCCAATGTCTCTTAATTGCTTGTTCATCTTCTGGCATCAATTTCTGTGACTTTCTCTTTGCAGGTAATTTTTCCTTAGGATAAAAACATATTTATTTCAACATGAAATATTAACACTCGTCTATTGAAATCCTCAAATGACTCCTTTGAAAATTTCTTTTTAGTTTACCACGGCAACCCAAATTTTTTATTGTTAAACATGGCAACCCAACTCTAAGTCTTAAACATGGCACCTCAACAATAAGTCTTAAATATTGCAACTCAACTTTATGACTTAAACACGGCAACCCACGCATAAATCTGAAAATTCTATAAAAAATAAACAAGCTTTTGGAAAGTAGTTTTAAACTCTTACTACAAAATATATTCGCTTGCAGCAATTATGCTCACAAGAAAAATAACATTAATAATTGTACTTTTTTAAAATCTAACTTAAGCTATCAGAAAAGATTTAATCTGAATTCCTTCAATGCTCTAGGACTAGAAAAGGTATTACTTTGTATTAGCCTATTTAAGCTTTAATTGTTATATCCGTTAAGATTGTTTCAAAATTTTAAAATTCAAAAGCATTAAACAATATTTATAATTTAATTGGAAATACACAACAAATGACGGAAACATAATTTTAGCAAAAAGATGCTATGTTATGAGACATTTTGAGATTCTCTTTATTGACACGCCAATGATTCAATTACGTCTTGTTTGGAGACCATGCTGACTGTTCAAGTCAAGTGTTTTTTTTTTTCCATGTATCTCCATGATTTTTTTTCGGGGGGAGGGGGGGGGGTTAGCACTCGTAGAAAGTCAACTGCCTCCCTCGGAGGCAATTAATGTGTAAAACAATAAAACGAAATTATACTTTATAAAGAAAAATGCGGTCATTTTTATCTAATTTTAGAAAGAATATTAACAGGTGCATTTAACCGATTAGAATTAGTGGAACGTATGAAATATCGCGAAGCTCGATACGTTTAACGATCTATTAAGGCTAATCTTGTTAGAGGCTAACACAATTTTATTATAGATATCGCCCAGTTCTTAAATTGGCCGCTCATGATTATCGGCTGAAGTCCCTTTTTCCAGCAGCTGGAATATATCTGTATTGTTAACATTTTTATTTTAGGCAATTTCACAAGCTTAAAGACTTTAAAAACAATGTATTAAACTAAATTTACATCCATTCAAAGGTCTATAACTTTAATATACTTTGTAACAAAGTTTTTTTCTTGTAGAGTTGAAGTATTATTATGTTGTAATATTTGCCTTAATTATCTACAAACACAATCATGCATGAAGCTTGAAAGCACAAGGGATTTGAATCTCGCATCAAACGTTTATTAACAGAATATCTACGGTATAAAATAAATCTCCTGAAACTGGAGAAAGCATAATTGTCATTGACTTATTACTTCACATACACACTTCAGTCAGATTTGTTGGGTCAACATTAAGATGTTGTGTGATGTAAATTAAGATGGTGTGTGATGTACATTAAGATGTTGTATGGTGTACATTAAGATGTTGTATGATGTACATTAAGATGTTGTATGATGTACATCTTTGTATGATGTACATTAAGATGTTGTGTGATGTTCATTAAGATGTTGTGTGATGTACATTAAGATGTTGTATGATGTACATTAAATCGATGATAGAGCATGAAAACGACTGCCATGAATATCTCCATATGAATCACGTCCTTCTTCTTCGTATTTGGTGCACTTTAACTCTAGAAAATATGCATTTTTTAAACTTGTATAAAAATAATATTATTAATTTTTGAAATCTAACCTGAACGTAGAGTTGGAAGTTATCAAGCACTCTACCACGAAAAGATACATGCTCCTAACTTACTCTCACCTTTTTCATTAGTGTCTCATCACAGTCATCTTCTGTTTGTGAAAGAGTAGCCATGATTTTATCCAACACAGAATGTTATTAAGAAAACTGGGATTTTTATTATCACATTAGAAAAAAAAAAGACCCAAAACCAATCTAAACCCAAGTAATCGTTATTATTTTATATTTTAATTTACAAAAGACAAATAAAAGTCAACTGTATATTTTATTAATGATTCAATTTATATTTTATATATATATAAATATATTTATATATATAAATGTCAAGCTAATTACGTAAAATTTATTACTTTTTCAAACCCTTTTCTTCTTCAAAATATTTCAGCTTAGCCATGATTAGTTTCTTTATCGATCACTCCTCACTATTTTATAAAATAATAATAATAATACTAATAATAATTTCGGTAGTAAGGAAGTAGAATAAATTCTAAATAACATAATTTTTACCAAAACAAAAAAGAAAAAGAAAAGAAACGAACGTAATAATCAATATGAAAGAAACTATTTAGCGCAGGAACGTGAAATTTTAATTTAAGGTTGCATGGGATTGGTTGATATTCTTTTTAAAAGATGCGAACGATTTAAATCGGGCATTAAGAAAAAATAAGTACAAGGTCTCTCAACATACTTGATTTGAGGCCATTTTAGTGTGTGCAAAAACTATACTGGTATTTTTATATATTTTTTGAAAAAGGTAACTAAACTTTCTAATACTTAATTTTTATTTTATTTTATCAGATTTAAAGTTATAAATAACATAAATTTGTTGTGTTCATTCATTAGTTAATTTATTCAGTTTAGATTTAACATCCATGACATTTATTTCTTGAATTATAATGTTTCCAATTTAAATATAATCATAATGGATTTTCTTCTTTTTTTTTTAATATTGATTGTCATAGTGTGACAAGCAACTCCTTTTCAATTTTAATTTCAATAAAAATATTTTTTTTAAATATTATGATTATTACATTATACATGTTATATTATTGTTTTCAACTAAAAAAGGCATGACATTTTAAGGGAATTATATATATGAAGGAAACACTACAACATACATAATGCATGGCGATTTCAAACATGTATGATGATTAGTTCAATAGCTGCACTAACGATGAACGAATCGAACGCTTTTGTCAGGTCAAAAAATTATTACAATAATATTTTCATGATTATATAAATGTGTTTATGTTTCCTTAATGACTCAATGCTGCTTTTGTTTTCACGCCCTTGTTTATCATATTACATCCATTATTCTTAAATCGGCTTTTAGACTCCATGCGTACAATAACCTCTCCGAGACTTATTCATAATAACAAAAACATCGCTCTTAGAAACTCGACAGAGATTCTTATCTGACAACGATCGCATTGGAAGACTTTGATTATATTAAATAAAATTAGTGCTAGTTTTTAGAATATTAATGTTCTACAGTATTTTAATTTTGTAGTATTGATAATTATTAATAATTAGTTAACTATGATATTCATATTTTTTATACCTGTAACGAATGGGTTACCGAGCAAAAGGTCTCTCGCACTGGGTCTTTTTGATCCATCTTTTTGAAATACTTCATTTAAAAATTCCCTTAAATTTGGTGGGCAAGTTTCTGGTACATCGTATGCTGGTGATGGATCAGGGCTCATCAATTTAAAAAGTACCTGATGCTCTTCTTTCAAATTATAGAATGGACGTTTTCTTGTCAACATTTCAGTAACAGTGCAGCCTATTGCCCTGTGGTGTAAATATTCATTTATAAAAATGTGTTTTAAAGATTGATAATAAAAATAAATAAGTTAAAAATATAAAGTTATAAATATAAATAAGTTTTAGTTTAAATGAACATTGCTAGCCAATGGTAAAAAAATATTTTTTAAAAAAAAGTAAATAAAGAATACCATATGTCAACTTCGTAGCTGTAATCGTTGGATTGGTAGAACATCTCAGGAGCCATCCACCGTGTGGTCCCTACTTGCTTTGTAGTCGCTTTCGAAATTTCTTGAAAAACTTTAGACACACCAAAGTCAGCAAGTTTAATGTGTAAATGTTCATCCATCAAAATGTTGTCACCTGAATTTGTATTGTATGTAGCATTTTAAAAGAAAACTGTAATCGTAAGCAAACATGTTTATATTTAAAACTCCGAAATTTATTATTTACCGTATTTTTGCGAATATAGGACTTATCTTATACAAAGTTTTACGCACGATGCACCCAGGTTGCATCTTATATGTGGGTATATACATTGCTCAGTGCAGCAGATGGCCAGGTAGCGTGCGTCTTATGTAATTTTAGTTTAGACAAATCGTAAAAACCCGCGTCTTATATACGCTTTCGTCTTATAAAGAGGTGCGTCTTATATTTTAAAATTCCGAAATCTACCATTTAGTAAGAAAAACATAGCCCCATTTTAATTAGTTACTGTTGTAAAATGTAGAATATGCTAGTCTTCAATTAGAAATATGGCTTACTAGAAAATTATGAAGAACATCAAATGATTGTACAAATCAGAAATTAAAGTAAAGCATCAAAAAGTTAAAAATGTATATTTTAGCTGATCTTCTTTTTCTGTCCCCTTTTACCGATCAAGTATTGCGAGATGGTCTGCTGGTGGTTCAGTTACTGGATTGAAAGGGCTACGTTTCGCAAATTTTTTATTTTGATAAACCAGTCGATAAGTTTTCCAGTGAATGACCAACTGGTGGATAAGTTTTACATTGCATAACAAGGCGATGGATATGTTTTCTATGACATCACGAACCAGTGGATACGTTTTCTCTTCCTTTTGAAACCAGTGGATACGTTTTTTTCAGATACTGGTGGATAAATTAGAGGTTTGTTTATGCATCTGAGAATTTTGCAACACTGCCCTGCATATTGAGATCTGATTCAGCGTTAAGGGATTAAAAGTCGGTATTTAGAAAGTTCCCGATGTGTCTCCAGAATTGAATTTAGTGTTAAGTCTTATGTGGTTTAATGTGTTACAAACAGTTTGGTATTTGATTCCGATCCCAATATATCCCTATCTCAAAGCATCAGACAACATGGTGGAGAGCATGAGATGATTTTTAGCAATGGTGCAGCCTTTTTTTAAACTTTATTAGACAAAGGGAATTTTCAAGACATCTCTCTATTTTCCCGTATCCTAACCAGCATTATACCGTGTAATTACTCCACGATTAAAACACAATTTCTGGGGCATCCATATTTGCCCATAATCTTCCAGAAACCTTCTCTGCTGACAGTGTCAAATGTCTTGGTTGGGGCAACATGGATGGAGAGTAAGACAACATGTTTTTCCAGGCACTTTTCCAGAAGCAGACTGGTAACAAACACCATAAAGATATTTCTGCACGCTTTGCAATGACCGCATAGACTTAACGGCTGGAGACCTTGCTCAATATGCGCATGGAGATGGCTTATGAGGCTTCTAGTGAGTATCTTGCCTGCAATGGAGAACAGAGAAATACGTGGTAGTTTTCACAGGATTGATGTTCTCTTTAATGTTGCTCAAGTGTACAATAGATAACTCCTTATAACCCTTTGGTATTTTCTCTTGCTGTCACATAAGCAGAAACAGCTAGTGATGCATTTCAGTTAGAGTTGTGCTTCAATCCTTGTCAATTTCTGCTATGATGGATTCATCAAATGAGCTTTGTAACTCGAGAGAAGGCATATCGCTTGTTGCGGCTTATCAAGGGTGAGGGGGGACTTCCATTTCTTGTGGGAAAGGCACTTCAAATTCAAATTATTGCTCGTCATTGACAGATGAAGGCTTATTAACAAAGCTCTTAAATTCTCGGCCCAGAGTTAACTAATTGTTTTTTCCTCATTAACCAGAGATTCGTCATCAGTTGTCAGCAGTGGGGATGGTCCTGATCAAGTGGGGCCGCCTTAGATGTCTGTTAAAGAAGAGTAGACATTTTTCAGAACGTTTCTCTCACTGAAGCCATGGATTGCGTCAGCCTTGTCACGCAACCGTCTATCCTGCTTTAACGAAATTTTTCCTGCTCCGTTATTCTTATGTTGTTGTAGGTTTCTTTCCTGGTAATTGAATTCGGGTGGCTATGATAAGGGTTATTAGGAATGTTCTGTTTTTACAGCAGCAGCTTGATTACCTTAAAGTATACATCAAAACAGTCCTGATTATATTTTGTGAGCTTGGTTGCAGAAACTAAAGAGAATGTTATACCAAATTGCTTAAAGTGATGTCCTGTCCGATTCAGCATTGGGATTTTTTAGAGATGTGCATTTCAGATGTTATTAAGTGCATCCACAATGAGTTGTTTTATCCTCTGGTTCTTCAACTTTGTTGTTTTCAGACGTTTAGGGATCTTTTTCCTATTGTTGTCGTCTTTTGGGTCTTAAGAGAAGGTTGAGATTGGTGGGGATAAGAGTTTGTTCTGTCATAGAGTCTTTAACCCTCGTTAAACGCACATATTGACAGTTATTTGTCTTTATGAAATTATGGATAATGAGATGCCAATGTTTTAAGCAAGGGAGCCTACTGCATATGCGATTTCGATGGCAAGACGAAAGACTGTATTAATTACAAGCAGTTTTCAATCATCGCAAGTCTTCAGAAAAAAAAACACAACTATTGAAGTGACTCATTCCATGCTTTCCTGGTACCCCATCCCAAGCGATGTGATCACGGCACACTTGGACATTTACACCAATAAACATTATTAGCTTTTATTGCTTCAGAATGCAGCTGTGACTGAGTTAAAATCCTCATAGATCTTTGCCTTTACTTCATCTATGTTGTTTGTTGCTGGAGAAAATCAGCTATTATTTATTTTATTTTTTTTTGGACGGGGGGGGGGGGAGGTCTTCAAAATTAATAGAGGCAGTTTCATTTTAACTATCATAATTTTGAATTGGCATGGAAGTTCATGTGACTGAGTTAAAATCCTCATAGATCTTTGCCTTTTCTTCATCTTTGTTGTTTGTTGCTGGAGAAAATCAGCTATTATTTATTTTATTTTTTTTTGGACGGGGGGGGGGGAGGTCTTCAAAATTAATAGAGGCAGTTTCATTTTAACTATCATAATTTTGAATTGGCATGGAAGTTCACCCACAATGCTTGACAATGCTAATCAGTGCAGCCTTATTTTAAAGTGTTTATATCGAGAACCATTATCGCAGATAGCCGTTTCCTGCAAACTTGATCTCGCTAAAGACAGCAATATCTACTTTTTACTTTGCTAACACATTTCCTATAAAACTGTTCTCCTCTGTGGTCTATCCACGTCGCTCTTGTCCTGACTATATCTCCTCCTATTGTGGTAGGATGGATAGGGAAGGATGGATCAGCCATTGAGTAGGGAATGTTTTCGAGCAATTTCCTCATGCCATAGCGGGAAGCAGTGTGTTTCTTAAGCGGGCTGCTTAGTAGTTCAGGTGACTGCGTTAACCCCTACTGATCCTTTACAGTAAGGAATGACCCAATGTCCTGAGCTGCCTATTTTCAGGTATTCAACAACTGCTGCTTGGGTACCCACACTTGCCGCTTCGCCGCCTACCTATCGCCGAAATACTTTGTAAATGCTGTAAAGACTAGGATATATTGATGTTTAAATTAAATTGATTTGCGCTATCACTTAAAGCGAGAAACTATACGATTACCAAAGGCTGCCCAAAAACCCATTGACTGCAAAAGTTAACAGAATGAAGTAGAAGCACAATTAGAAGCATAGCAGGAGGAAGTAAACAGGGAAAACAACATAAATGATCAGTTGGATAGGATAAAAATGCCAATAAAAGATCAGCGGAAAAAGTAGTGCGATTTCTGCAGGCCAGCAATAGAGTAGACTGGTACGACAGTAAGTGTAGAGAGACTGTGGAAGAAAGAAACAAAGCACGAATGATCATGTTACAAAGGGAAACCAGAAACACAGCACAAACATACAAGGAAGCCAGAAGGAAAGCAACAAAAATTAGTAGGAAGAAAAAGAGGGAATGGGAAAAGGATAAACTAAAGGAAATAGAAGATTTATCAAGAGAGGGAAATATAAGAGAAATGTAAATGAAGATAAAAAAAGATGAAAAGAATGGATACCAAGCCAGACCGCAAATGTGTGAGAGCCACAATGGAGATTTAACTAAATTTGGCAGGAAGAGAAAATCCCAACAGAATTGGGAAACAGCATTAATTACCCCAATACACAAGAAAAGATCCAAACTTCAGTGCATAAACTACAGAGGAATCTCCTTATTCAAAATTACACACAAAATACTGACGAAGCTTATTGCCAAAAAATACAACCTTACACTGTAGAAATACTAGGTTATGCACTGATCGATTCTAATCAATTTACCGTCTTCTCTCTGCTACCTGTTGACTAACTAGTATGTCCTCCGTGCAATCCTTCCGATACAGTCCTTATATTTGGGGTTGGGGAAGTTTCGTTCTCTTCACCAAAGTCTTTAAATTGTTTGGCTACCCACTACCTGGTTTTGCCAGCTTGCGTAAGCCGTTTTACATGGTGTGGCCTCTATGAATAATAGAGCGACTTTAAGCCACAGGTGAGCACCAAATACCTTGTGGGAACCAAAGATTATTAGTTAACCCCAAGGGATTTGAATGCTGCTCATGGGTTTATGCACTAGATACGACAAAAATAGAGCTACGAATGCAAACTACATGAAATGTTTACTTTTTATGTCCCTGTGGAGTATTCTTTTTGAGTGTAAATAGGACACGCCCTCAAGCATCTGTTTTAAGATATATCTTATAGAACTTGAACCCAAAGGTTTCTTTGATTCATATTTCAAGTATTTGTCCAGTGAACCCTGTGTGGGAAAATTACCATTCAAAATTTGTTATAATTATAATAAAACGTTCAAATATATTTTAAAAGTAAAAAAAAAATCAAACTAGAAGGGAAGGTAAAAATAAAAATTACAAAACTACCTATTTTTATTGACTTATAATAGATACAAGAAGAACTTTCTCTGTAATTACAATACTTATATTACTGTATGTCAATACGAATTTTAACAAATAATCGCGCTTTATCGTGTAAGTTTGTTAAATGACTATCAAATTACCTTATTAAAACATTACGATTTAGCTAAAGGAAAACATTTGGTCCTACCCCTTTTATCCGCTCCATAAACAAAGACAGAACATCATCAGCTTCACAAAAGCCATAAAACTGGACAATTCTAGGATGACTGAGACCTTTCAATATTTGCAATTCTTTTAAAAGGGCCGCCTGAAATATTATCTTTGCAATAAAATCTCAGTCTCTCTTTCTCTCTCCCTCTCTCTCCCTCTCTCTCTCTCTCTCTCTCTCTCTCTCTCTCTCTCTCTGTCATTTCTCTTATTCCATTTTTCTGTCTTTCTATCTCTTTGTCCGTACAGGTACTCTTACACTCATCACAATCTTCCTCGCAAGCAATATTACGTTCTTTAAATTTATTTGATGATAATGCAACCTTTTTTTCAATTTTCCAAATAGAGTACTCCCCATTTTTTTCTCTATTTCTCTCGCACTCTCCGTCTCCCTCTACTATTTTACAATAGCGTCACAAAAAATTTAAAAAAAAACAAAAAAACATAAGTTAATCAAATAATATAATTATACAAGTTTCATTCAAGTTGAGTTTGGGCAAATTCATTCATCCTTGGCAGGTCTTGGCAATTTTGCAGGTCAGGTATTTCAAAAGATGTGTGTCCCTTTCTCCTATAAATTTTCATGTTAATATACACTGTTAATTATAAAAAGCTCCTGTTTGAGAAGACCTTAAATAACTGTCTTAAAATAAAATTCATTCTAATTCTGTTCTACACGGATAACATTATTCATCTTTATCCTTTCTGTTATTCTGAAATTCATGATGTTTGCAAAACGGGTCATTTTAAGTATCACCCTTTCCTAACAAATGACCTAGCATTATTATAAAAAATAAAAAATGAAAATCTATTTTTATTTACGACAGCGCCAAACAAAGGAGGCTGATACTAACTACCTGTCAAACAGTTTTATTCATATGTTATTTGTTTACTAAATCCCCCTTTGACATTAATTAGCTCAATGAATAAGTCGCAATTACTATGATTTTGAAAAGTATAGTTATTAAAATACGTTTAATATAATAACAAGAATGTATACATAAAAGTGAGCTGAGGTATCTGACATAATGCTAAAAATCGAAAACAATATATTTTCTGATGATTAAAAACAATGAAAGTAATTTTTTTTAAATGGAAATCGAAGCAATTGTAACCTGATCAAAAATATATTTTCGTATATTCAAGTAATTGCTAAAGTATCATTTTTTAAAATTTGGAACACTTTTAAAATACCAATTAAAGAACTTCTTCACGTATTTTATCGGAATTTGAAAGTTATGATATTCTTTTATTATTAAATTCATAATCACTTTTATCCCGGAAGCCTAAAAATGTGTTTCTTTTTTTAGAGTGTATTTAATATTTCAAAATTAATTCTATTTTTATTAACAAATGACTTCTACTGTAATTAGAAAATGAGATAGTATCATTAGACATAATTTATTCATATTGTCATCTATGAATTAATGTTAAAGATATAAAATAAATCAGATCGAATTTAATTGTTTGATATTATGACTTCGCAATAGCAGTTATAAAGTATATCGTGTTATCGAAGGTACTCTACTTATTAATTTGTATTTTATGTTAAACATATCTTTTTCCCTGGTCTTCGAAATCAAAGTATTTCTGACCTTGAAACCAATGGCGGCCCTAGCAATTTTGTGTTATGGGAAAGAACATGAAGTGCCACCCATTAAATCAAAAAATGTTGCACAGTCATCTATTTTTTTCTAATTTTTACAGAAACCACATTTTGTATTTTAAATTATAAATCTGAGTCATGAATTGGTCATTTTATATTTACTATAATTCACAAAAAGCCTAACTACATAAACACACATTCTTAAAAAAAATATTTAAAATGTTGTTTTTTTATTGTTTTTTTGTGTAGACCAATTTAATAGTTGATTTCGAGATAAGTATGGTTGTCTAGCCTTCTTAGAATTTTTGTTAATGATGTAAAAATATACTGTAATGACTAATGTAATCAAATTGTTAAGATAATCTAATGATTAACTGTTTATTGTTAACTTTCTATCAAGCAGAATCCTGAATTATTTACATATACACCTCTTCTGCAAAAGTCCTTTCTATTGATATTGTCATCATCAGTGGCGCTACAGTCCAAGTAAGGCCCTGGCCTGCTCCACCACATCCTTCCATTCCGAACGAGCCATGGATTTCCGCCTTCACGTGGGAACTAGTTTAAATCAGTGGCGTAGCTACGGAGTGCTGAACGCACATGGATGACACCATTTTAAGGGTGACACCCAATTAAAAAATTGCATATTTACAGAATTCACTGTTCGGTCTAACCGAGATTCATAAAAAGATAAGCGATCACACATATATTTTTCACAAATGTAACCAATCTTAAAAGTTCAAGGTTGATGCATCAGAAATGAGATGCCCCTAGTTTTAGGTTACAATTTTCAATCTTTTAATGATTAATTCTTATTTATTTAAATTTAAATAAATAAACGTTTTTTTGAAGGCATAAATAACATTTGATCACGATTATAATATAGACTGCTGAGTTTTACCTGCTACCTTTCTTTATTGTATTTTGGACAGTGCTCCGACTATTGTTTTTGAACTGTCGTCAGTAGCTATTTTGTTTGTTGTCTTGAACATGACAAAATTAAATCATTTTATTGTTCAGGGTGTTAAACAGCATGCAAAAATCTAAACGTCCAAATGGCTGCAAGCAGTGAAAAGCAAAAAAAGACAATTCCTTGAAGAACCAAAATTACTAACAGAATATGCTTCGATATGTCCAGAAACCAAATAATGACCATGGTCTGGGTTCATCAAAAGAATTTCCTCAGTCTACCATTGATACTGATTCTCCCAAAATCAGCCGCATGCATTCTTTATAGAAAATTGTGGAGAAAATGGAAAAGATTGGAGTGAAAATACAAGTAAAAGACATGGATGGTTTGGAAACAGAAATGTCTGCTGATCATGTTGATTCAAACCAAGATACTGTAAATGTAATGGTAAATGACAAAAATTGGCACATTTGATCAAGTGTTTCTCTCTGCACTGTACCAGCTCCAGATTATTTTCAGTCTGAAATTTTTAAAATATGGAGCACCTCGTTTCAGAACAAGGACGGATCATCCAGCGTAGTGACAAGGAAAGATGCGAAATCTAAAGTAGGTTTGCGCCAACTAAAAAAATAATTGATCTACAGGACGATGCAAAATGACGAAAAAATAATGCGGTCATGGATGTTTTATTAACTCGTCAGTCAGACATTGTACTGTTTTTACTGCAGATTGTTTGCTGTTGATGTTACAGAAACAACATCTCAATTTGTTACTGGCTTTAAAAGTAGTGGAAACTGAGTCCAAAATTATAAAATCATGATGCATCGGAAAAGCACCTATGTTGCATTGAAAAGTTTAAAGCATTGGCAGCAGGACTTAAGATAAACAAAAAATTAATGCCGAAAGTATTGCTGTGATGAACAGGTGGTAGCAAAAGTGGTGGGATATCCTGCACAGGTTTCTGGATATCACATGGTTTCTTACAAAGCAAAATCTGGCTTTTCGTGGCCACGACGAATATGAATCTTTACTGAAACTTACTTGAAATGTTTGAGATGCAATCTAAATATGACCCAGTGCTAAAAGAGCACCTATATGAGTACATGTGCAATAAAATGATAAGCGAATTACCTTTCACCAGAGACCCAAAATGAATTTATAAATGTCCTTGCAAATCATGTGAAGGAGATTCTTATCATGGATATAAAGACTGTGCGGTATTTTTAAATTATGTTCAAAAGTGCATCTGATATTTTACACACTGAACAGATGACTGATGTAAAAGATATTTGAAAATCCACAAAAAAAAAGTTGAAATAAAAGAAGTCATTCTTGGATTTTTCCCGTTGTGAGGGGAAAAAATCGGATGACCTTAGTTTTGACATTCTTACAAATCTAAAACGTGATGGTTTAGACATAATGATGTGCAGAGCTCAAGGTTACGATAATGCTGCCATAATAATGTCTGGAAGCCATGAACGTGTAAAGGACATTCTGAAAAGAAATAATAAGAATGCAATTTTTAATATATGCCAGTGCCATTCGCTTATCTTTTGTAGTCAACACTCTTTTGCAGAAAATGCTTTATGTATTAAATTGTTCGGTACTCTTGAAAGAATATTTTCCTTCTTTGCTGCATCCAATCATCTATTGAATGTTCTAATTGAACACACTGGAATGTAGCTGAAAAGGCTGTCAACAATGATTTGGTACGCTCATGATGCTGCTGTTAAAACAGAGAAAGATGAGTTTGATGAATGTTTGACGGCGATTGAAGCTATGTGTAATCCTCTTGAGCCTTTGGATACAAGAGCTACATCACAAAGTCTTTTACATGATGTCTGTGATTTCATGTTTATCTGCTACCTTTACCTTTGGTCTGATCTACTTGAGGAAGTTAATTTTACGCAGCCTCTTAATCTGCAGACTAAAGGCTTTACTCGTGACAAATTGGTGACAAACCAAGAGGCCTTAAGTATGTTTCTGCATTAAAAGCGCTGTCACGTGTTGGAACATGCTATTGGAAAAGCACTTTTAATATCAGAACAATTTGAAATTTTGTTAGATATAAAATTAAGGTTTAAGACGAGAATGGCAGTGGAACAAATAATAGATATGTGACTCTTTCTGTGAGAACAAAACTGTAGGGAGATGCTAGAGTGTATTGATCGCTTTCATTCTAAGACAGAGATCAGACCATTAGCGATCAAGAAAGTAGCAAATATTTTGGGGCTGTTCAAGCCAAGGGTCTAGCATCAGCAAGTGAAGATGAGTTATTGGTGTCCGTTCCAAAATCAACTTCTTTCTATGATGAGTAATTAAAAGATAAACTTTTAAAGTAAATACCAAGGCTTAGAAGACATCTAAAAGCAGTTGATATTGAATTTCACAAAGTCATGGACTGGTCAGTATTTGTTGTTTTGCAATTCACAGCTGGATTGGACTTCTTACAATCTCTTCCAATACTATCGCTAAGCCTTTAATTGTTTCTTAAGATCTGTGTGTTGTGACGTGACGTACGTTGTCTAGGGGTCGGTCCCTTCTGTACTAGCCACAGAACGATTTTTCAAGGGTCTAGAACCCCTTTATTTCCAGCTCCTACAGAGCTGACTCTTGCTCCAAGTATCAACAAACAATTCAGAAATTCAGGTTTTCTTATTTATTGGCTATGTGTGCCTAACAATGGAAAATTTATTAGAAATAAGCTCTAGTGTTCAGAATAATAAAAAACTCCACATACTATACTAAACAGTTAAAGTTACACAAGTCCTCTTCCATCCGTAGAAAAACTCACTGCCTTCACAAGACAAAAATCATACACCATATCCACAGCACTCGCCACTGTTCACTCCTTAAAAAACACAACTCACACACTGTTATTCTCACGTGGTTCCTCCCGACACAGAACACCGGTCATACCTTGACCGAGAAAAATAAAAACTCGTGGGGCACACGGGGAAAATAAACTCACCCACGATTGGTCAAATTAACATTATAGAAGTTGACACAGAAAACTCACGCGATCTGAACGTGACATGTGTCTTTGGCTTCATGAGAGCAGATATTTTCAAAACTAAGGGTTATTGAGAAATATTTATGATCCGCCATGTTACTTTCTAGACTTTGTGGTGTGGCTCTGCTATCAATTGGAAGTGATACAGTGAAGGACAATATTGATTTCGCTCAAGTGATTGACAAGTTTGCAGATTTGAAGATCAGAAAAAAGAAAATTTCAAATAAAGTGTATTTAATGTAAGAATAACTACAACTTAAAGTTGTTACATTTTATGACAATCAATGTACACGTTTTCGTTCTTGTCATTGTTATACTGTGGACTTATTCGAACAGGGAGAAATCCATCATGGAAGTTTGTTGGGGGATGGGGGTTTGGGGTGTGGCACCATGAGTTAACCGCACCGCGTGACACCACGCTAGCTACGCAACTGGTTTAAATCCCCCTCTTCATTGTCCATTCATCTCAGTCTTGGACGACCGTTGAGCAGTCTGCCCCGAGGCTTCTGCTTGTGTATCACTTTCTCCGATCTACCTTGCAGCATCATTTCAATATGCCGAGCTCAACGTAGACCGACATTGTTTATTGTTGCGACTATGAGTGGTCTTTGTACAATCTGAATAGCTCCTGGTTTGTACGGATTCTCCAGATATTTTGTCTATCACTGGGTAATATATTTTCTAGTGATATTGTAGCTACACCAATCACATGATATTGAGAGATGGTAGAACAAATATAATATGTTTTTATGAGCTTGAACTTCCACAAGCTTCTCTCAGAACTCAAAAATGTGCTTGGGAATATTAGGAAAATGTTTCCATTGATTTTAAAAAGCTCTAATTTTGAATTGTATCAAGAGGAAACATTATTTCTACAAATGTTAAATTGACTATTTTTTCAACGGAATTCCTTTTTTTTTTCATAATAAGGGCCTTTATTAAATTTATTATTTCAAATTTTATATCTGTTATGAAATTATCCCTATATAAATTTATATCACCATTTTGAAATGTTAAAAGTCTATGAAGGAGTGCAAAAAAGAGGGGGGGGGGGATTAGCCTCGGGGTAAAAAAATATGTTTCGGGGTACCGGTAATAATAAACAAATTAGCATGTGCATTATTTAATAGGAATTTATATTTCATTTTATAGATGTAAGGGCATGCGGCCAAAGAAGTTGACGCGTAAGCACATTTGCCTTTTGAAGCTTTCTGGGTTAGCCAACCTTGCTGTACAGATTTCAGTTCATTTAAAATTTTAGGCTCAGACATTTTACGGTTGTGCAATAGAATTTCTGCTTCTGGGTTACCTTTTCTTTGTCACTATCTTGTTGGCATCCAATGACTTGTTTTACCGCTAAGTTCCTGTGTAGAAAACTGTCTTTCACCTCATAAACTTTTCCAAATGCACCTGAACCGATGTGTTCTCCCCTTTTCCAGTTTGACTGCCTATTAATGCCATCTATTAAACAAATAAAATCAATGAGAAGCTAAACTGTAATGATCATACAAGTGTAAATGACAATATTACATCTGTACATAAAATCTAATAAGGAAATCATGAATTTTTGTAAGATTATCATTTCTATATATTACAGTCTTTTAAAAAAAAGACATTATTTTCTACCAGTCTGTTTAAAGACGGATTGACCAGTTGAGGTATAAAAATATTTTTAACGTTAATTACAGCATGTTCACATTTAACGTAATTTTAAGCTGTATAGTGGATTTCACAAATTTTATATTGGTATATAATATTTATAATGTTAAATATTTCATCAAAGCTCTATAACAGGGGTGTCCAAACTACGGCCCGAGGGTCGCATGCGTGAAATTAATCTCTTGTTTTAAGTTATGGCTCGTTCACACAGTGCACAACAAAGGACGATACCATAGAGAAATACGATAATAAAGTGACGACACGCAAAAACAGTTGCCAATTACAATTAGTAAGATTTAATTTAGTAATAATAAAATTACACAACAAAAGAATTATAATTACAAATCATCAACTTACAGAGTACGGAAAAATCTTGTACCGGTACACAATTAGTACAATGTGCCAATTAATAATGAAGAATGCGAATAAACACATATGAGCACACAAAGAATAATACACGTCCCGTGAAGTTAAAAATGTCTATCAATCTCCGTCTCACTACGTGTCTGTCAAGCCCTTTATATATGCAGCGTAAGCACTGCCTTCCAGAAGCCACTCAGCATTTTTCTTTTACGTTTCTCGGCAAATCAAGAACCTTCAACAATATACTAGGAGACATACTAAACATGTTTAATTGGTTTTCGGTAGTAAAAATAATACATCAAAAACTAAGCAACGCCCACAACAAACGCTAACGTCTGCTATGACTCTAATGTGGGGTGAAACAAAGTTCAAGCACGAGGAAAGTGTACTACATAACAAAGGTCTTCATGGCTGAAGCACAGCGGAGTTCCCTCATGGCATTTGTATGCGAGATCTAAGTGCAGCAGCTTCAGATTCAACAGCGGTTTTCTGACTTGGATTCAAAGGCAGAAGAAGTGAGACTGTTTCAAAACACATTTGAAGCAGATGTGGCTAGTTGCCCAGATCAAGTGCATCTGGAGGTCACTGAGTTGCAAGCAAATGACCTTCCAAGAGACAATTGAAAAGAAAGACTGGAGAGTTTTTACCAGTTTTTGCCCAATGAAGACTTTCTTAATGTCAAACCTTTTGCATCAATGTACCTTTCAATCTTTGGAACGACTAACCTGTGTGAACAAACATTTTTTAAGAAGGAAATACGTAAACAACTGCAATTTGAGAACAAACTTGCCCGATGATAATCTCAGGTCGCTGTTTATGTTAGACACATCAAATCTAAAGCCAGAAACGTCTGCTACTTTGGCATCATGGAAACAATTTCCCCATTCCCACTAATACAGGTGTTCATGTGTAGTGTATCGATGTGTGATTAAATAATAACGGAATAAAATATTATTAAATACATAATTAAATAGAATATCTATGTTTTGATTCTTTTTTTTTTTTGTTCTGTTCTATTGTGGACCTCGGGTGTTTGTTCGGCCCCCGAACTGCAGTTTGATAGTTAAGGGCGGGACTCGGGCTGAAAAGTTTGGAGACCCCTGCTCTATCAGAATGAAATCATCTTCGCTGTTGCCAGAAGCAAGCTGTACATAATATTTAATTTGCTATAACAATGATTTCAATGTATAATAAGTGGTTTGTTTTTGTATTTAAATGAACTAACCTCCGACAAACTCCAATTTTGATAATTCATCTGAAACAACTTTTTTAACAAAAATGAGTAAGAATAAAGACTTCAAATCATACGGTATTCAAAGAGACGTAATTTATAAATAATATAGTTTACATTATAGAACGTTTAACAATAGTCATTTCAGGAATTTAAATGTTTCGTTTTGTTTATTTCCATTTTTTTTTAAATAAAAAATTATAGATCTATTTTTATTGCATCTTTTTATTTTACCAATTAAAATTATTAGCATTTAATTTTGTTTAACGGCTAACTCACAATCAAAATATTTGCCTTGTTTGTTTGGTTTGTTGTGTGTTTTTTTTTTCTTTTAAATCAACTAACCTTTGAAAAATTCATATCCTGAGCATTCACCTGAAACAATTTGTTTTTGTGTTAATGAATAAGAATGAAGACTTCAGGTCATAAGGCATAAAAAGAGACGTAATTTATAAATAATATAATATCCCTTATAGAACGTTTAATTATTATCATTTCTAAAAAGAATGTAAATGTTTTGTTTCGCTTATTTGCATTTTTTTTTTATTAAAAAAAGTGAAGACATATTTTATTACATCTTTTTAATTTACTCATTTACAATTGTTAGTATTTGAAAATGTTAACGTGTATTTCACAATCAAAATGTTTGCCTATAAATAAAGAACTCTTCATCATGATAACTTGAAAACAAATATAATAAAGTTTAGAAAGGCACACATAAATTGCCCATTAAAATTCCTTAGACATTGAGTTCAATGCGATAAAGATAAGTATACACATAATCCTTGAATCGACACAACGCTTCGAATTTCTTACCATTTTGGGTCACACTTTTGACTCCGGTTATTATCTCCTTGCCTCTGCATGTAGTTCTTATCTGAAACTCTTTAGTGCCACGTGCTCGTTGCAGCGTCTCTTTAGTCATTAAGCTGTTTATCCCTACAGTTTTCACCTCCTTTACGGTTATCACAGTAGCTGTTTGCTCCATGTCTGTGTCAGCTTCTTCTCTAATGTTGTCAGAATCGTCTGAACTCCATTTTCGGCCAGTAGCCATTTGCTAAACGTCTATAATTGTTTTTTTATGATCTACGGGAATGTTTATAGTTAAAGCAATATTTTGATTCAGTTGATTCATAAATGGGCATTTCCTTAAGATGGCCGACAATGAGTAATTACTTAAATTTTAAATTTGTATTGAAAAGAAAAAATAATATTTAAAATAACTGAATGATTTGAAGTTATAAATGAAAAATCAAATCAAATAATAAATATGTGCTTTGCTTAAAATCAAATTTTATTCGTCTTTTTAGTAACGTATATTTTTGCCACAAATGGCCTAACTAAGACAAAAAGATGTTGCATAAATTAACTTTTCGTATGTGCCTTAAAGGTAAAAATATTTTCACTAGAAGAATAAAAACATATAAAAAATATGTGTACTTGTTTATTTAAATTTAAAACAGTGATATTCCGTTTTTCAACGACATTTTAAAACAACTTTAAAATGCTAACAGTTATTGGAGTTAAGTTTAAATGTCTTCTTTTTTTAAACACGTCCAGTTCCTGTGTAAGTAGACTAAAGTAACAATTATCCAGATTCTCCACCGACATGTAAAAATAAATGGTTTCACGGCATGATACAAAATGAGAGGGTGTTGTATTGCCGTGTGGACATGTAATCCGAATAGTTTTAATGTGAAATATTAAATCAATATATAAATTACTACCTTATCAACGCTACCCAATCAGCAACACCTAACATCTAAATACGGTTATTCCCCCAAAAGCCCCCATTCACGATTTTATTGGTCATCATGTTTTGCGGAGTTCTTAAACTGCCAAACATAATTCATAGAAGATTTTTAGTGTGTTGTTTTAAGTATGAAAATTGTGTTGGCAAAAATGTAAACAAACATCTGGCAGCTGGATACGTTCAAGAAAAAACAAACATTTTTCTCAGTTGTTATTTTGATATCATTACAATTTACAGTTATTATCAAATTGTACGAATGTAATTTTCTAATAATAAATAGAAGCGATATTAAAATTTCAATCACATTAAAAAGAAATTTGGGATTTTAAAGTAAGCTATATTTATAATTACTGTTTATTAGTTTGTTACTGTACAATTTTTGTTTTCTTCTTCTGAAAACAGTGATTTATTTTAAAATTTACAACAAGTACTTTTCAACTTTCTTGAGAATCACTGATAGGAATTTCCCATGCATTTCGTGTTTTTCCGTTGATAAATTGCATGCCAGTTATTTAAATTGGAAGTAAAATGCACATATTGAAAAGTGAAATTCACAGTTTAAAGTTGTTGATCGATTGATTAAGGATCCAAATAATTTTCTTTCAAGTCCAAATATTTAACATACGATGCATTCTTTTTGTAGAAGATAGCTTGCTCTAAGAAATATGTCGTGTTTAAAGAAGTTCTAAATAGGCGACATAAGTTAATTCATACATATTTATTGATTATTAATATAATAACTGTATTTCAATATTTCAATTTATTTTAATGCTTTATTTCTAATCAAATTCTGTCTCACGCACGCAAAATATTTCGTTATTCCCATCAATGGCTCTTTCTTTGATATCACAATTTTAGCAAAGGTCTGCAGCGTTATTTCAGCTCAGGTGGAGATAACAATTCTACATGTAAAATGAGTTCCAGAAAAAAAGAATTTAACATTTATTATTTAAAAATTTGAGTTAAACGCCTTCAAATTTCTTCAATAATAATTTGTTCCATGACAAAAGAAATATACATGACTTATCCTGATGCACTATTAAAATAATATTTTAAAAGACAATAATCTTAAATAAGATGTTTTCTTTTATTGTTGAGTGAGGTTTTCTTTTAGTCCGGCGATAGGTTTGTAGATCCAAAAATGAAGTTGATTGCATGCACTTTTAAAATAAGCTATACATACTAAGTGGCTAACATGAAGTTTTCTTATTTTCCTCTGTGTAACCGATTTTTCTAAACTAGATTACATAATCCATGAGTGGCTTAGGTGTAATGCAATATTTATAAGTGAATTGTCATCTGTGTCTATTTACTTGGGTACTTTTTAGCATTGTGAGAACGTCAAGCTTTGTGCGGGTCAATAGACGGGACTGATTTGCCTTGTGCTGAGCTAGAATATAATATGCTAAGAAACATTGACTGTAATATGTTGACTCGTTGTATGAGTCTATTACGCGGTGTAATCTCACCTTTAGGGGTCTATTTGATTTATTACGTTCTTTATTTATTTTAAAATTACATCGAGGGAAAATAAATGACATAAGTGAAAATTGAAATTTTGACCAATTGTGAAATTTCGTAATTTTTCCGAAGAACAGAGTGTGATAATGAATGAGATTGTTAAGTTTTAAACCGATAGTTTTCTAATATTGACTGACACCTCTTGTGATATTTACTGACAGCTCTTGTGATATTAACTGAATGGTTTTGTGATATGAACTGACAGCTCTTCTGATATTAAATGACAGCTCTTATGATATTAACTAAAAGCTTTTGTGATATTAACTGACAGCTCATTTGATTGTAAATGAAAGTTCTTGTGAATTTAATTGCCAGTTCTTGTGATATTAACGGAAAGATCTTGATATTAACTGACAGCTCTTTTGATATAAACTGACAGCTCTAGGTTTTAACCGACAGTTCTTTTGATTTTAACTGACAGCTATTTTTATTATAACTGACAGCTCTTGGGATATTAACTAAAAACTCTTGTAATATTAACTGACACATTTTTTATATTAACTTAAAACTCTTTATATTAACTGACAGCTCTTTTGATTTTAACTGAAAGCGCTTGTGATTTTAACTGAAAACTTCTTTGATATTAACCGACAGTTTTTTTTTATTGAGGTCCACAAGAAAATATTCAAAATAAAAGATGGCTTTACCTGCACAAGTCGCAACGTGATATACTCCATCTTTTGCTAAAAGTGCGGTAAAGTATATGCAGGAGAGAAAGGTTGTCGCCTTGGAGACGAGTTCAGAGAACACCTCTATAACATAAATAAACAAGCTTTCTGTCCGGTCTCCAAACATTTCAAAAGCCCTAACCATGATGGTATCTTAGACATCGTAGTTACTGGTATACTGTATACTAGTAGCGCAACAGATAGGATATGCATGGATAATAAATTAATAACACGATTTGGTACATTGTCTCCATATTAAATAAACCAAATCTACAATTTTACCTAGCTGCCATGCCTTCTACCTGTTTAGTTTTTACAATTTTGCTCAAATCACTTCCTTTACACTTTTCTTTAATTTGCTTCTGTCTGTTTTTTTCGCCTACTCCTATTTTTCTCCCCCTTTTTTAGGTAGGATATCTGTATATATATCATGTAAATTTAATTTATACTTAATTGTCTTTTTGTTTTATGTCACATCTTCGTTTACGGTTGAATATTCCAGCGTTGTCTAGGGTGAATGAATCTCGCCTGGCTCAGTTCTACACTTCCAACTGGCGGCTTGTCTCTCACATAAAAACACAAGGTCCAGTGTAAACATACAATACTTTATTACATGCTGTACAAATCAGGATACTGTTACTCAATAGAATATGGGGTGTGGAATATACATCTGTACAACTACCAACTATCCACTCTCCTAGCACAACTAACGACCAACCACCACACAGCCCTTGTATATCCATACAAAACACTCAACATACACTAACGTTCCACACCACGGACTAACTTTACGCACTGATCTCACGATCAACAACTCACAAAACACTCTCACGATCCACAACTCCCCCTACCCAACATTCACAACAATCTAGTTCACAATATTGTACTGATGAAGGCATTAGCCGAAACGTATAGTTTTTTATTCTGTAAAATTGTTATTAAAGCTTACCTTATATTGTTATATTGACACAAATTGTTGGTGCATTATTAATCTAAAATTAACTGACAACTTGTGTGATATTAAGTGACTGCTCTTGTGAAATAAACTAACAGCTCTTGTAATGTGAACAGACAGCCCTCCTTATATCAACTGACAGCTCTTGGGACATTAACTGTGAGCTCTTTTGACATTAACTGACAGCTATTGGGATATTAACTGGCAACTCTTGTGATATTACCTGACAGCTCTTGTGACATTAACTAAAAGCTCTTATTCTGTGACGGAACTTTTAAATGACAGCTCTTGTGATATTAACTGAAAGCTCTTGTGATATTAACTGACAGCTCTTGTTCTGTGACAGAACTATCAAATGACAGCTATTGTTATATTAACTGACAGCTCTTGTTATGTGACAGAACTATCAACTGACAGCTATTGTGATATTAACTGACAGCTCTTGTTCTGTGACAGAACTATCAACTGACAGCTATTGTGATATTAACTGACAGCTCTTGTTCTGTGACAGAACTATCAACTGACAGCTGTTGTGATATTAACTGACAGCTCTTGATTCTGTGACAGAACTATCAACTGACAGCTATTGTGATATTAACTGACAGCTCTTGATTCTATTTCAACTATCTATTGGGTAATTTATTGCTACTTTTAATTGGATATTTGTTTGGTATCGAAAATGTATACATAAAAGATATCAGTCAGACCGTGTATCAACAATAAATATTTTCACTACCAGGTGTATCATTTGACGAGTAAGTTTGCATGTATGTTTGTGTAAGATGGAGACAGAGAAACGAGAGCGAGCAGGAGATATTGGAGAAAAGGGGGGGAGGGGAGAGAAAACAGATAGTTGAGATAAAATGTGTGGGATTACATATGTCAGAGTACTATATTTTTACACCCGGCACTTTGTTTGAAATTAGCAATTTTAAGGGAATGCAGCATGATAAATTTAAATTTTAAAATTTTGTAATGGCCTCCCTTTCAAAAAAAATATATTTTTTTAAAATATCCAAAATGTAATACAATTCTAAAAAAAATTTTCTCATGCTACTAAAAATATTTTCATTAATTTGATCGACCCCTTTATAATGTTATATTAAAAATTTACTTCAATAAGGTTAACACTGAAATAAAGGTTGTGTGTAATAGATTTGACAAAAATTGCAAATGATTTATATTGGCATAGAAACAGGCCAAGACACTATGCAGATAACAGTGTGGGCTTTTTAGAATATCCAAGCTAAATGAAGCGTAGGCTTAAAAACGAAATTAGACAAAATATATGAAATCTAGTTATTTTTGTCTGTATCGCACTGCTTGTATTTTCTTTCCGTGTACCATTTAAGACCATTTCTTCTTTCTCAATCCCCCTTATCTCACTGTACTTCACAATTATCTATGTATTTTTCCAGTCACACGCCTTTCTAAACACTCGCTCTATATGTCTGAGAGGTCTCTTTTATGGCATTCAGATATCACACTCTGGTTCTATGTGTCTGAGAGGTCTCTTTTATGGCATTCAGATATCACACTCTGGTAAAACTATCAATCTGTGGTAGAGCTTTAATTCTGTGTTAGAACTACCATTCCTTAGTAGAACTATCACTCTGAGGTACAACTAACTCTTAGTGGGTTAACTATAACTATGTGACACAAAGATTACTCTTTGGTATAAATATCATTGTTTTGTTTAACTATTGTTTTGTTTAACTATCACTTTGTTACAACTATCACTCTGTGGTACAAATCTCACTCTTTCTTACAGTCATCATTATGTGATACAACTATTACTCTGTGTTATGACTATAATCAATCAGCAGGAAATAGTACAATCGAATTTTAAAAATGCATTAAATCACTGTAACGTTCTAAAAAAACCTCAAACAATA